ATGAAATGACACCAAAATAGGTGTGTAGATAGGCTATGGGGAGTTAAAAGTAAGTATGAAAAATTATGAAAAAATTATGTGAACTAAAGGCGTGCTCAACTTTTTTCGGAGTTAGGTGGCTTTCAAGCCACCTGGATAGCCACCTGAGGTGGCTTAGGAAAGAAAAAGTCATATATTTTTCCTCCCTCACATAATTTTTCTACTTTCTCTACATACTTTTCATCTATATCCCAAACCCTACAAATTGGTTCCTAAACCGCCTCAAACCCCCTTCTCCCCGCTTAGTTATAGCCCCTTGAAGATTTTTAAAGTCGACGGAAAGGCTGCTCTAGTCGCGTATTGCTGCGCGCTGGATAAATTATGCCGCCAATCCGGAGAATACGGATACCTCGCGTGTGTTCGATGATTCTTTTTCGTTTTTTTTTTCTGCTGTTGCTTTGTTGCGTTCCTTTTCATGTATTTTCTCTTCGAATATCTCGTGGCGGATGTCGTAATTTCATTGAAGTCAAAGGGGACTTCATTTCTTGCAATTTTGGGAAGCCACCTAGTGCCGAGCCCTGGTCTAGGGTCAAAGGGGACTTCGTAAAATTTCGCAAAAGTCAAGGGGGACTTCGTTTTTTGCATTTTCAACTAGCCACCTCGTGCCGAGCCCTGATTGCTTACCTCCAGTTATAAGCTTCCACCCGTTTGGTGGAAAAAACGAGAAAGCTATCGAAGGGTCGTACATTTGTGAATTTTGTAAGCGCCGAAATTCCCAATGAAATTCTCTATGAAATAATCACTTCGGTTATTTCAACAATGAGGGCTACCTGTCTTTTATCCTTTGATGTAAAGCCATTATTAGACAAACCCTACATCAGACGTTTTGGAATCCAAGCGATCTCTATTAGCTCAATAATTCACTAGTGCTATTCGCTACTTCCAGCTTTCAGATCTCGTCATTCATCGAACTTTGTTGTCGCAGACTCGTACTAATTGCTTTGAATGTTGCTCCTTCGATAATTCATCTTGCGCGAACTAACAGCAATTCCGTGAGTCTGAGATAAGTTTCGAAGAATCCTTTACGTATAAGTGGAAAGGGGTTTCGATACAGTGTCCTGGCAAAATACATAGATGGACTTCCTCCTTGGAAGTTCGCTCAGTCAAATCAGCTACGAGGATATTAGGAGTGTTTATCAAGCATCTCAAGCAGTAGTACTGAATGTCCGTAAAATCTGGTAACTTTGTGCTCGAACCATTGTCGTCGAATACGGTAGAAAGTGCGGCCTGGTTCTAAGCTTAGAGTTCTCTTTCTCGGCCACAAATGGGTAGGTCAGCTGCTTGAGTCAGGGCACGACACAAAGAAACACACTGGAACAAACTGGATCAAAAATCAGTTGGCGTACTCCTTCCCTAAACTTTTTTTTATTCTTTATACCAATATAAGGTGAAAAAATTCACATTAGTAGATATTATTAACTTTGGACATGTGCCTAGTGTGTTGTTTTTTGTTACAAATTTACCCGACTTGCATATTTCCTTCTTTCTTTTGATCGATTCCCTTAGTTCACGAAGTTTTCTACAGTAGATTAATTGTGCATAGTGAAGACAAATCAGTGATCTGTACCAGTTCAGCAAAAGATACAGTTCCTTTTTAGAAATTGAGTTTTAACAGGTTAGAGCAATCAGATTAGTGGCGATTCGTTTTTGTAGCCCTTTCACCTCATGATATTTCTCGAAATTTCTCGAAATTAGTGAAAATTATGAAATCAAAGGAAGTTTTGCTTTGGAAAATTTAAGCCAACTTGCCAGGCCCTATTTCAGGCAAATGGCTTAGTTTAAAGTCCCAAACTTCTATATGAAAAATTCCAAGTACTCTAATTCGCCTAGACTCTGTCTTCCACCATGAGCCTGACAACTGCGAAACGAAGTTGGAAGAATTTCCTACAAACAGCGTATTTTTCCTTCACTGAGTGCCCTTACCCTATCCCAAACCTTTTAGATCGTTTTGGAGTACTTGAATACATGATACCATGGCCAGAAGTGGTTGCGCAATTAGCGTCAAAGGTGCCGATGGACATCTGCGAGAGCTCCTCCAAACCTAGCAAATAAGTCAGAGCACATTCCTCATTAGGAACAGCGCAAACAACTCAAAACAACGATATCAAGGATTACATCTCAATACTGAAGTTTTTCTTTACACAAGTACGGGTTCAGAGATCTCATGTCTACATCGTGCCTGGCTAGGGGACGTCACAGCTTGAGGAACAAGGTGATCTTTGAAAAAAAATTAGACATAGTTAGTTAATGCTATTATCTCGATTCGCATTTGATTATAGAAAGACCGAAGAAGTAAACAGGAAGCTTTGTCTTCGGAAATATCGATTATTTTCTTTGAAAAAAATTGTCGCAATTGAAAATTTATTTAATCATGAAAAATGTCCTTTTTCCTTCGCCACACGATCTAATCGTCCGACATAGGTTGTGCATGCCAAACAAACAATTTCATTTCAAGAATAAAAACGTGTGTTCGTTTTCGAACAAAGCCATAACAAGTTTTTCATAAAAATCCTCAGAACTGTTTAACTTGCTAATCATAACGTAAATTGGGTGTGCGTTGGAGACTACTTACAATCAATTAGCACCCCGCTAATCGCTTTGATAGATCCGCCATTGTCCTCTCAACATCGTAAATCTTAACTCATTAACAGCCCCTACGTTGTAAATGCGGGAAGATCAGCAGCAAGTCTGCTACGGCCATAGAACAGGTGTGTCGGAAGAAGCGGTAAAGTTGGAGAAAATAAGGTTAGAGAGACGACCATGGAGAAAATTCTAGGACTCCGACGGATCTGAATAATTAACCCTCACATATACTGTCAGAGAAGTATCTGCTCATTTTCAAAAAATCATGCTTGTTTATCCTCGAAATTTCTACTTTCTAACATGCTTTTTTACTTACTGACTTGAAGGTCCAATTTTTTCTGCTACCAAATTTGATTGCTAACTGTGCTGCTACCAAATTTGATTCCTGTGTAAAGCTAGTCTAGTTGTCCTACCACCAAAAATTAATTTAGCCTTATTCAACAGTTTAGAGACTCCTATCTTGTAAGGAAATGAAGAAACTAACCTGCTTCTTGGTTAGGATCCACATGGTCGTGCAGTATCATTAGAAAAAATTTAATCCAGATTCCTGCCATTTTGCCCACTAAATGGCCAAAATATCTTGTGCTACTGTGATTGCCACTCAAGCTTATCCTTGGCTATTGGTATGTGCATGGGGATCATACCAGTTATAGCGAATATTTGAGCTTGAGCATATTCAGTACGAAATTCTAGGATTTATTAATGTCATGAGGAATATTTAGCTCTCCAACATTGGTATTTGTTTTAGGTATATACGAATGTGATTATCCCTTAGTTGCTTGGGTTAACAAGAATTTCTAAAAGTTTCGACATCGGTCAACAACAACAAGCTAACATTTTTTAGATGCCTCTCAAGAAGTGAAAGACTAGGGGCGAATGAATGCAGAGGGGACAGTATCGACAGTATCTTGTGCTTCTACTCGTTACCGTCACTTTTCGAAGAATAGAGGAGTCTATTAGACCTCGAAACATAAAAAAAACCTCTACATTGAAATCTACAAAAGATTTACTTAGTAGATCACATTGCAAGTTGGCCGTCAGGGAGTTCAAAGGTCCGTATTTCGTTCTTTGGAATACCTAAGGTGAGAATATGTTTTGAAGACAGGACTCACCAAAAGAAAGGTATCCTTGCTACTCTAAATCCCCGTTGAAGTGCAAACCTGAATAAAAGATCACAAAACTCCGTATACCAAGAGCCACGACTTTGAGCAGGTTGCCTCTTCTCAGCTCCTTGTAGCAGCCATAATTTGACAATATCAAATAGAAGATCTAGCTCCAAGAATCACAAAAATGAAATGTACAAATTTATTGAATCGGGAAGACTTTGAGCCTAAACTGTCACTTATAAGCTTTCTATAGCAGCCTTGATTGACAAATATTGGGCAGGATCCAAACTTATTCAAGAGACCCTTTACCATTTACATTTTTCACAAGGTGTCCTCTTATTACAGCTCGGCCCCAAATCTGAAAATTAAGATAAGTCAACCATCCATTCATTCATACTCTACCACCAAATCGAATATCTCAAAGGTAGATGACCCGTGTATACCTTGGCGAAATAAAATCTACAGTATTGTATTAGGCTGTTTTTTCAAGTAATAAACATTTATTCGATTTTTGCTTCAAACTTTACCTGGATTACGACTTAGGCGGGTCGTTTTGTAGAGCTTGCTTCGCTCTATCGTATGCTACCCTAAGTCTGCTAGGAAAAAAATAGTTTGATTTATTTAGAAACACGGTTTACTTTAGGGACAACCCAATAAAATCATTTTCTATTCCGTTTCGTGTTAGAAGTTATCGGATGTCAACCACTGCTGACCAGCAACAAGCAGATGCTTGAAAGACACTTGGTCAAATTTTCCTTAATGTTGAATAGACCATAGCATTTGTAAAGCTTCTATTGTTAATACAACACATCATTTCTTTCTTGCAAATTCACTCAAGAGCGCGACTACTTCGCCAGTGCCAACCGCACTCCTATTCCTGTCGGGATTCTAGGAGCTTTGAAGATTTGCTCACGTTTACGCTTCGTTCAAGCTGCGGAAAACGTTCGCCATAGGTGGTGGATTGCGAGGTGATGGCGTAACGAGTGTCCTCATTCGCTTATCTCTTTATGTCTGCTAGTTGTTTTGTGGTTGGCATTGCCCGCCGGGTGACGCAACCTGCGCAACAAAGCGCGCCGCCATCCGTCCGGGTCACCCACATCGCACCCACCATCTCCTCACTCCCACCATCTGCACGAACACCCATTGGCAGTTCATATATTACCGTAATCTGATTCAATCGAATCCTCTCGCTCCTATTCTCACATTGCAAACGCTTTTTGATCTACCTGGAACTTTAATGCATTTTTCAAGAAAATGTCGGAAATTCATCAGATGGGGAATTTTTACGATGCTGCAGCTCAGCAGAACGCCTTCAAGGCCATGAGTCAAATGTGGCAAATGGATCAGTACCAACAAGGATACGCCGGTAAAGATGTCCAGGTAAGTAACTCTCGCAAACCTGCAACACCTTTTCTTCATCCAAAACAGTAAAGCAAAAATTAATCAACGAATTAATCTCTAGAAACTCCTCGATAATCTTTATAACGTCACGATGCAAATTACTTAATTTCTACAAATTAACAATTTATGGTAAAGTTTATTTCATACAATGGCTCAATAGGACTTGATCAAGTAATTTATCACTTTCACAAACTTGACCGAAAGTTGATTCGCTGCAAAGTAATGCATTGTTTGTAATGGGTGTTGAAGGGATTTGATTCCTCTGTGCCCTATTGGACTCAAAAAGTGTGGGCCTGCTGTTCCTGATACGGTAACAAAGACATTTGAATGGTATTGCTAATACGCCCTTAACAGTCATATTTGTGGTTAAATTCCCTACTCGATGAAACGGCTGAAAAATGTAATTTCGAGACATCCCCAAAATTGTTTGCTATTAGATCTGAAACTCATTCAACTTCGAAGTTCGAATCCACATTTCACACATTTAGGTGACACCACCCTTACCGCCATTCCCACACCCGTTTGCCAACTTTGCTCAACAACTCACCTCCATCACACAGTCAATGCGAGAATCTCCAGCCCCTTCAAAGAAGAAACCGAACCCTGTGCCTCCGGAACTGAAAGATGAGGTTCGTCGATGGCACTAAGTAAAAAAACGAATGCTGTGTGCATTTTCCTATTCAGGCATATTACGAGCGACGAAAACGAAATAACGAATCGGCTAGACGATCACGTGAGGCCCGACGCCAGAAAGAGGATGTGAATTTTCGAAAGTTGGAATTGGTGCAGCAGGTATAATTTTTTTCTTCTGAGTTGTCTAGCTATTACACTCTATTTTTTATTTGATACTTATTTCGTTATAACTGTGAATGCATCAACGCGCGAGATACCTTCTGGTAAGGTATCTCGCGCGTATCTTCAGCCTGACATTACAGGCTTTTCTGCCACTTTTTCATGAAAAACAGGTAATCATTGAATTTGACAAGTGTTTCTTCTACCATTTATCCTGGTTAATGCCTTCGTAACCTCTAGCAAAAAGGCTGCACATGCGCAAGACATTCATTATAATAAAGTCTGTCAGGAAAAGAAGATAAAATTGTCGTTTCCTTCTAGTTTTCAGCATATTTCAGAGCAGAATTTTTCATTCGACTGCTAAACGGCCTCTCTACCACTTTCAACTACATAAAACATTATGCGGCATGCTCGCTCTGAACAATTGTAATTTTCCGTGATAATGGCATCAGAGCACTTTTTTGTTGTTAATGGACAAAATATGAAAGCACATATACTCTTTATTGTAACCTTATCATTCTATAGAAATGTGCGCTCAGCTTTCAGTGCTAAGAAAGCGAAAATTTGGAAAAGCTATAGATGAAGTGAGAATGGGGAAAAGTTTGAGTTACTGCGATTCGCTGTCACTTGGAATCATTACCAGCTTTCTGCGATCTCGGAAATACTGTAGTTGTAACCGTACTTATATAAAATCTTTTTTAATTGATAAATGTCTGCGTTTCCTTACACTACGTAAATGCTTTTGTTTGAGAAAACTACAAGAAAAGTGACTTTGAGACCTATGAATGAATAAATTCCAAGGCGTGAAATTACGAAAAACAGAAAAATTTTCAGTTTAACGTGAAAAGATTTGAAGTGATAGGTTACTTGTACTGTTTTGCGATGTAAATTATCATGTAGTTGTACAACATTTAGAGACGTTTTGTCAATAGAAATTGGACAAAACGCCAAATGATAAAATCATCGAAATTCAACAAGGAATTTGGGCTATTTAATTTTAGACAATATATGCAAATGCTATTACGTCTCAAAGGTCATCTCAATGCTTTCTTGCCACTTTATTCAGTCGTCAAGAAATTTAATCAGAATAAATCGGAAAAACATCGTTCAGGACAACATTCGACTAAAAGCGGAGCTACAACGAGTGGTGATGGAGTTGGAGCGGCTAAAGTACATGGCCGCTGTTCAAGGAGTTCAGTTGTAAAAACAGCATTTTATCTATGCAAATCTTCCTCAAAAAGGGTAAATTACGAGTAACAGCCCTTTGTATCCTCTACCTCTCCGAAGGCACTGAAATAGTGCCCCTCATAGCTGTCTTGCCTTTGATTCTGTTAATAAGTTGTTGCTATCTGTCTATCTGGAATGGAGCTTATACATTTCTATGTAATATATGTTTGTGTAAATAAATGCTTGCTGCGAATGATTTTCGTTAATTTCAGTAACTCAAAATATCTTTTTTTTAGATAAAATTCAAGTTTCCTCTCTTCATGTTTTTAGTTTGCAACAAATTGGATCAAAACATAGCCCTCCAAGTTTGCAAGCATTGAGCACTCCAATTTCTCCTCCCAACACACAAAACCAGTGATGATCATAATCTCAAAACATATATAATAGAAACTACAAACCCTTACCTCACCCTCTTTTGGTTACAAGTATTCGAAAACCCCTATATAGAGCAGTAAGATTATCTGGCGGTAGCATTTGCCAATGCTGCTATCTTTCTTAAAGCTCCCAAGGCCCTTTGAGGCCTGTTGTTCTTGATGCAGAAAAAATCTTAACCACTGGCGTGAGAGGGGAGGAGGGGGAGAGAGGAGAAAGCGCTCAGCCACACCCCGCGGTTATTTTGTGTACGCGAAAAAAATCTTAAGACTAATTAGGATTTCTAAGATTTTTTAAAATTTGTTTCTATTCATAAGTGAAACTGAGCCACTTGCGCGATTTTGCAATTCATCCAGGTTATCTCATTCGCGACTCATTCTCGTGGGCTCCTCTCTCCTCAATAGGCCACTGCAGTGTACCCGTTAGCACTGATCGCTCGTCTTCTATAGGCACTAAATGTGCAGATTAGACGTAAATATTTTTCGTTTAGCATTGGGATCCCCAATGTCGAGTAAAGAATCTTGCGCACGAAAGCAATAGGATTACATGCAGAAGCCATAGTGTTGTTGACTTCGGTTTTCATCTTGTTGTGACTCTTAATCCTACTGATGATGAACACAAAAATTGTTTCCTCTACTTGCTATGCGTAGACGAGCTCCTTTTTCAAAATCTGTACATTTTCTTTTATTAGGTTGTAACAGAATTAATGCAGGTCTTGAATTCCAACCGCAATAAGTTATACACTTCTCATTAAGTAGGTTGCAAAATACCATTCGATAGAGCAAAGCAATCTCTATAAGATGACAATTTTGTTTTAGCAACAACTCTGATCCACCACGAATTTCGAGCCGAAAAGTAAAAAGATTCAACCGTACGAAAAATTGAGAAAAATGGTAACTCAGTTCATAAAAGACCTACAAAAATTCTAACTTGCTCACGTAAACACAATCCACATAGGGCATCTATACACGCCGTTGCCGTATTTTTTTCTCTGTTAGAAATCAAGTAAACGGAAGTTTTCGTGCATCTGCCAAAGTGTTGCTGTGCCGTTCCCACATAAGTACTTGTATACTACAAAGCTGTAGAAGTATAAACGTAAATTTTCAGCTCTCTACAAGCTTTAGTTCTCGAGAAATTTGAATATTAGCTTGGACCACATGACTAGTGAAAACTGTATTCGGTATTTCTCGAGAACTAAAGCTTGTAGAGAGCTGAAAATTTAAGTCTGTACTTCTACAGGCTTGTGGTATACAACTACCTATGTGGGAACTGCACAACATCACTTTGGCAAATGCACGAAACCGTTTTCTTGATTCCTAACAAAAGGAAAAATACGGCAAAGGCGTATATAGATGTCTTATGTGAATAGTGTTTACGTGAGCAAGTTAGAATTTTTGTAGGTTTTTTATGAACTGAGTTACGATTTTTCTCAATTTTTCGGACAGTTGAATCTTTTTAGTTTTTGGCTCGAAACCCGTGGTGGATCAGAGTTTTTGCTAAAGCAAGATTGCCACCTTATAGTGATTGCTTTGCTCTATCGAATGGTATTTTGCAACCTACTTAGAAATGGGAATTGTATGACTTATTGCGGTTGGAATTCAAAGCCTACATTAATTCTGTTACAACCTAATACAATCTCTGCTGGATTTCCGGAGTAGAGTTACTGTCTGCCGACAATTATCAGTGTCATGCATGTGTTTTTGGTCCAGGCGAACTCTTCCAGATTCAACTTTTTCAAAGCATGAGATCCCAGACCTCCTCCAAATATTCCATAATTTGACATCAGCAAACTCCCCGTTTCTGATCTAGTAAGGTTCTCAGGTAAACTTCAGAGGCATTGGAATAAACAGTGGTTAAGAGTCCCTATACGGCATAGGAGACTACTATGGTTCAATCACAGCTTAATGCTTCGGCGAATTGTAAGCGCAGTTTGAGCATTTTACTCACTCAATTACCTACATTTCGAGTCAATTATTTATTCATTTACTTATTTACTTATTTGTTTGTTTATTTATTCATTTTAAATACACACGATGTGCACCAAAACAAAGGGTTTAATTTGTCCGCTTCTGAGACTATTACCCTAATTTCAGCGTACAAGACGCGGGGGATTTTTTTTTTTCCAAAATTGACTAGCCCAAATACGCCAAAGAACTTTGCAACCAAAGGACCCTATGCCGTGCTGTATATTGCTTAAGAGAATCGTATGGCATAGGGATCGCTTTCCGAAATACTTTGGAGCGGCTGAGGGGTTTGATTGAAAAATTGAAAAAGGTGCGCCTTGTACGCGTGAAATTAGGGTACTTGGACTTTCTGAGTAGCCGTAGCGCACTTTAGTAGACGAAATGTCAGTAAGATGAGATGCGGAAGGCGAAGTTACGGCCTGGTAAATGTATTAGGTTGTCAAGAAAATAATGTCGTTTTTCATGGCAAAGCCACAAGACAAATCCAAAAAACTTTGTAAGGGGTACCATTCGATAGAGCAAGAGAAGCTCTACAAGAAAACATCCGAACATTGGCAGAACTTGTTGTTTACGCAAAGTTCAGAGCCAAAACATACGAGCAACTCGTGGTGCCAAAAATTGGATTTTCGCCCTAGAAAATCCTGCGAACCTCTTACCTGCTCCTGACTGTAAAGGACACATGCATTTATCCATAGGTACACTTGCTATATTTTTTCCATGCTTAGAAACCAAGAAAAAATTGAAAAATGGAAAATGGCAGACTCCGCTCCCAGTAGTACTGGGCCCCTCCCACATATGCCTTTGTATACTACAAACCTTCGTAACTTTCACCATAAAATTTCGGCCTTGGATATGCTTTGGTTTTCGAGTAATATCAATTTTACACGAAAAAATCCGAAAAAAAACGACATTATTTTCTTGACAACCTAATACATACTTGTCGGAAAAGAGTTCTCTCATCCGTAGAGCACGAAGAGAAAGGAATGCTCTCGTTTACGGGGAACACAAAAGTGTTTTTGATCAACTAGTTCTTGAAGGTGTGGCCGCCATGCCTGCACATCGTTACCACCTAAGGCGCCGAGTAGTTAGAAGACTGATGTCAGGTTACACAGTGCGCCATCTGGACCGGACAAAAACGACATGTCTGCGACGACACTTCATGGAGACTGCCTCATGCTCTGAATCTAGAAAGCTCTCCACAAATGCCGGCCTTCACGCTCCTCTCGACGTTGGAGAACATATAGTACCACGTTATAGCTGTGCAGGAAGCGAAAACCAGAAAGAAGGACGTGCAACACTTGCCTGATGGGACCCTTATTATTCGTAGGGAATTCCATCAAGAAACGGTGGAGGCGTTGACTTTGTCGTCCACCCACCTAACGCTCATTTTGTCGTCCGTTTATGTCTCAATATATTGGAACGAAAACGGTGACGGTCTCATTAGGTCTCTCTCCAACGCATGTCTTTTTTATGGAAAGTAAGTATTCATGAAGGGAGAACCGCCGGTGGGTGTGGGAATCGCCCAATGCAACGACTCATGCGTAGATGTTCACCAAAAAACTCGATGTCTTGGTAGCCCCCGCCCTCCTGCTGTGACTCCAATTGTCTCCTTCAAGCGAAATTACGATTCATTCAAAAGCTGCAAAAGGAAGACCTGCCACAGTGTCGCAAGAAGGAAAGCGGTCGTTTGAGGTGGGCTGGAGGAACTCATGTGATGTTGTGACTGGCCCATCGAAGACGACCCAACGTAGTGACTTAACGACCTAATAGCATAAACTTGGGGGACGGGCGTTAGGTACCCAGCCGAGGTGTGGGCGTTAGGTACCCAGCCATTAGTGGTATACTCTAGGCCACGCCCCTTGGTTGCTTTAACAGCGGGTACCTAACGATACACCGAGTCTTAGCTGCTAAGACAGCTCACCTGGCTCACTAAAGCGCTGGCGCTTGCGACCCGCAGAAAAAAGTTTGAGGAAATCAAAAACAAATCGCGCGAATGAAATTGCAACGTTTTCCTATTACTTCTTTTTTTCATTTTTAGAATAACAGAAATTCGTGGAAAGTTTCGTGGAATCAAAAACAAATCGCGCAAATGAAATTGCAACGTTTTCCTATTACTTCTTTTTTTCATTTTTAGAATAACAGAAATTCGTGGAAAGTTAAAACGAGGTAAAACAGGCTTTTATGAGCACTTTAAATAGTTTTGCAAAAAGAAATTGTGATAGCGTGATCTAACCGATAACATCAGCGGGAATTCTGACAAAATTAAGTTTGTATTATAGAATTCCAATAAACTAATTTTATGGTTTTAATGAAGCAAAGCGTAATTTCGCAGTTGCCCCTGGCAAATAAGTTGTACGGAATATTTCTTCATTCCAAAAAAGCGCTTCAATTGACAAATAATTGACAATGAAAAGTGAAAGCGATTGGGAGAACGAGAATTTGTCATCAGGAATCGGAACTCAGTGGAGAACTATGTGACCCATTGATTTAGGGGAAGGGCACTAGCTCTGTTCTAATCAATGAAAATTTTGCTTTATAGATATGCCAACTTCGGTTGAGTGTCCAATAGAAAAACAGAAAAAAGCAACAAACTCTACCGAGAGCTTTATTGACAACATCTTTCACTTTTTAGTGAGTTACA